GCCCTGGAGAAATCGCGGTGCAGGGGTGGGGAGTGGGGGGAAGATGAAGCTTTCTTTGGTGTGGTTCCCTTCTCTCCCGGAACCTCCGCGGGCCCGTCTGCCTGGGGCTGGCGAATTAACCTCTTTCCATGAGCGCACTTTTTCAGCTGTGTGAACCACCGCTTCCTGCACAATTGATCTGAGAATCAACTGCACAGTCAATCTGATCGCTCATTAAAATGGGCTGCAAACAGTGAATTGGACTTTTCTCTCTACCTGTGTCTTGGCAGCCTCGCACGGTGGGTACATTCTTGGTATCCTGGCAGAGTCTTCCCAAGGAACGTGCTCAGAGCCTGGGGTGTGGCTGTGGGTGGGCAAGGGGGACAGATGTGCACGCCTCCCGGGCTCGGGGTGGGGGTGGGGGGTGCAGGAGAGAGCAAAAGACAACAGCAAATGCCAGGGGGAACCCTCAAAGTGCCAGGGTTCTTAAAAGTACTTGTACGGCGGACGTGTTAAAATCAAGAATGAAGGGGGGCCGCCTGGGTGGCTCCGTCGGTTGAGTGTCTGGCTTCGGCTCAGGTCATGATCTCACGGTTTGTGGGTTCGAGCCCCATATCGGGCTCTGTGCTGACAGCTCAGAGCCTGGAGCCTGCTTCGGATTCGGTGTCTCCCTCTCTTTGACCCTCCCCTGCTTGCACTCTGTCTCTCTCCCTCTCAAAAATAAATAAACATTTAAAAAAAAAAAAAAGAAAAGAATGAACTCTGCTGGTCTCATGTGTTGAAACACACGCCTTAGAGGCTTATAGGTTTTATGGTTAGAAACAGAGCTGGCTCCCAGCGGGTGAGTGGGACTCATCTGTGGAACGAAGGAATGTGCATGAGTCCACTTCTCACCCTGATACCTTCCCTAACCCCCCTTCCATAGCTTTCTCAAATTCTTCCCCAATTTCAGTGCTTTCCTCCAAGGACAGAGAAAGCATTCAAGGCTCAGCCCTTCCATCCAAGGCAAGATTTTGTTTTTCCTGTCCTTGCAACTGCTCTATCTGAAATTAAAAAAAAAAAAAAAAATTACGAAAAAGAATTTTAAAAACCTGACTCTCTGTTTAGATCGGTTCACTAGAATGAGCTCACAGTGCTTCTCCAAAATGGGAGTGTTTTGGGGGTGATCTGCCAATTCATCGCCCGGGAACCTAGGAAGAGAACTCACGAAATCAGCCAGCAAATGGGGTCCTGCTGCTGCAGTTACGGAGTCTGTAATTAATTTGTAATTAGTTTCTAGAGGGAGAAAAGGTGGAACAAAGGGTTCCCTGGATTCTTCTAGAAACAACCAGAGGAGTCCAAAGACACAGAACCCTCCCCATGACTGTAGGGCCACCTCCTGGCACTTTTCCTTTCTCCTCGTAACGTCTGAGCCTGACCCACCACCCCAAATTCCTCCATCCTTTCCATGGAGCACATAGCGGAGGGGGGGGGGGTACCTGGGAAGGTCTGGCTGCACCACCTCGGACTAGGGCAGCCCAACAGCTTCGGACCTCATCTGCTAAGGAACCATTAAAAAAAAAAAAAAAAGTTGTTCTCTTTCTTGGAAAAGCTCATCTCCAGGACGCTAATGAATCAACTGTGGCTGAGGAGGAAGAAACAGGTTTGCATGTGCAGCAGCCCATTCGGGGCCATTTCTGGGGTCCAAGCCCTGCCTCGGAGAACCCGGGTAGCCCTCACTGAGCAAAGAGCCCCAGGAAGCACGCACTGCAGAGACCACTCAGGAAACATTAAAATCGGTGCCTGCGTGCGGTCTATCAGCTTGAGCCTCAGCCCCGGGAAGGCGAGACAGAGATCCGGGTGGGAAACAGGCTTCCGGCCGGGAAAGGTGGGCACCCGGGGCCCAGCTGCCGGACCCCTCAGATCCAGAGCACAGCTCTGCCTTGGATCCCTCTGGCCATCGCTTTCTCCTACCCCGGGGTCAAGCTGAGTGGGACTTTGTTCCTCCATCAGAATCACTGGAGAGCTGGTAAGTTTCCCCTACAGACACTGACTTCTCCAGAAACAGGACGGCAAGGTCTAACCACTTCTGGAAAAGACTACATCTGTTCTGCCCCGCGGGGGCCGGAGCAGTGAAAGCAAGCCCTCCCTACTCTGAGGCATGTGTGCCCTGAGCAGGCGGGAGGAGGCAGATGGCTGATCTCAGGGCGGCGCACTCCTCTCCCCCTCCCGGCTTGCGACCCTCCCACAAACACCCCTTCCAAGGAGGAAATTCTCCCTGTGCCCCAGCCCCTGCCTGCCCAGCCGGCCACCTCCCAGGGAGAGGATCGCACCCTGGAATAAATCCTTTGCCTTTTTCAGAAATCAAGACGCCTCTGCTGAACTATTTCAAGGCACATGGCACCAGACGCACGTCCCGCTCCCTCCGCTGACCTCTGACGGCTGAACCTCCCTCCTCCGCCCCGCTCTCCCCAGGGAAAACCCATTACGGTGGGGATATTGATCTCTTCCCTGTTCCTTCGTCCCCACTCTGGTTCCCAACAAGGCCAGAGGCGCCAAAAACTCCCCGGGATGGCGAGCGCTGACCTCTTGAAGTGTGAGCAAAGTGAGGCAAGTGGTGGGAGCACACCCAGGCGTCGGGGAGGGGTGACGTCCAATGGGCACACTCACCCTGACATGCCTGGCTGGGTGGCGGGGCCGAGGTGGGATGCTGTTGTGCCTGAGTCACCCAGGACTGGACACGGAGTTTCCCCACCCTGCCCAAGGTCACTCATGGGATGTCATCAGTGGGTAGCTCATGCTCGGTCCCCTTCCCCCAAACACTGAGACAGGCATCATCCCCTCCTTAACAAGCGTCAGGATGGTGGTTTCCAAAGCCCTGAGCAGGCGACATTGCAGCTGTGGGAAGAGGTGCTGTGAACTGAATAAAATCAGGAGGTGAATTCGAGGCAGAAACGTCCCCTCTTTACATAATGGTCTGAGGCTGAACTCGGCTTCCTGAGCGGCGGTCACCTGCCGTCCCCGACCCCAGAGACAGACTGCCCTGATGGCATCACCGGTGACAGGGCCATCCACCCACACACACACGAGTCACCCTAGTTCGGGGTTGGGGAAGGGGGTCGGTGGGAAGGGAAGGGGAGAAAACACCGAGAGGGGCAGGGACATCTCCAGGGTCACAAGCCAGTAGAACACAGGCCAGAGCCGGCATCCAAGGGCCGTCCGCACCCTCCCAGGCCGTGATGACTCAATTCAGGTCATCAAGGTCAGGGCAGGGGAAGGCTCCGTCTAAGAGAGCAGAGAACAAAGGCTCAGAGAAGAAAGAAACCCAAAGAAAGGTCTGCGGGCACCAGCCGGCAGGAGGCCGCAGGCAGAGTGGGAAGGCAGCGGCGTGAGAGGCCAGGAGCCCAGGAGAAAGGTGAAGAGAGACAAGCCTCGGCGCCTGGGGGCACAGAGAGAGGGGCCACACAGGCCAGGACCACCTGCTTCGCAGGCCATTCCTTCTCTGCTTTCCCAGAGGAGCCAAGAGCGAGAATCCAAAGGGGACACGCACTGACCACACACCATTGTCACAATCCCTCCCTCAGCCCCCGGGACCAGACTCAGTGCCCGGAAGTGAAGATGGGGTGCAGTGGGGAGGGGACAGTGGCACCTCAGGGTGGCGAGTGGGGATGACGGACGGTTTGGGGAGCACCCAGTGCTAACACCCAAGTTTGTCACTGTCCAAGTACCCGAATCTCGTGCATCTGACTCAATGAAACCTGCCAGCGAGCATCATCTTTTCTCAACAGCTTCCAAGGAAGGAAAAAGAAAAATCATGCCCAGAAATTTCTATCTGCCTTTCTCTCTCCTCATCAAGGTACCGGTGATTAAGGTCCACATCAGCAAGGGAAAGAAGTTTCCAGGCCAAAAGGGTAGCCAGCAGAGTGTAGGAACGCTAGTTCCTGCAGGTACATAGCTCAGGGTGGGGATCCGCTAGGTAAACTCGGAAACAGGACCGGTCGGAGGGAAGTGGGGGTGGGGGGGTGGGGGTCCGGTCATGAGGCCAGCGCCCACACAATGTGCCAGAGATGGAGGCAGGTCCTTGGACACAACTGTTTCCCGAAAGACTGCTGCACCAAGCCTGGCCATTCATTCATCACCACCAGGGGACTAGAAGCTGAGCTAACTTAGCCTCCCCTGGGTGTGTGTGTCGGTCCCCGGGCGCGGAAGACAGTCCGCTTTCCTGTTCTCTGGGCTCCGACCTCCCTGAGGATTCACTGGGAGGCCGGGGTGGTGGCGTGGGAGGCAGTCGGGGTAGGACCAGGCACTACCATATTCTCAGCTCTTGGCATTAAGTTTTGGTAGGAGGCTTCCCCCACCGGCCCCCTAATGAAAGCTGGAACAGCTGCCCACCAGGTTTAGCCCAGCAAGAATGTTCGGTCCGAGAGTCCTGCCTACAGGGTTTGAAAGAACAGATCCTCCAGTCTCAGCAGGAAAATAAGCACCCCACTTGGGCAGGATGCGACCAAGGGACACCATCTGCCCTTGGTCCACTTGGAATGGATAGATCTTCACCCCCTTCTCACCCCGGGAAACCTCCTTTCCAGATCGCCCCCAGCTCTCACCCGGAAAACACCCGATTTTGTACTAAATCACTCCTACTCTTCTCTCCTAAGCTTCCGACGTCGCTCAGGACCCTAGACCCAGAAGGCTGTGCCGGCTCACTCAGAAAACCGAATGCAAGAGGAACGTGTGCCCAAGTGGTGCCCACCTGCCCGGAACGTCGAACCCTGGACCCCCCCCTCCCCCCAGGCCCCCGCCCCCGCCCCCAGGACCTTCCCCACCGCCATCCGGGAGCACACGATTTGTAAAACTCTTATACTCCAACTTCACGAGTTCCTCGGCTCCTTCCTCTGCCCCTGAAACCAAAAAAGCATGCGTTCTGGGCTCTGCAGAGACGGAGAGATTTATCGCCAGGGCGAAGCCGATGCTGGGGAGCCAGGGCGCGGCGGGGGCGCGCGCGCGGGGGCCGGGCAGGGCGAGGCGGCGCCGGGCCCTCTCACCTGTGGATGTTCATCTCCCGCGGGGGGCGGTGGGCCTTGTCGTAGGACACCTTGGCGAAGACGCCGGCCACGATGACGCAGGCGACGACCCCGCAGGTGATGTAGACGGTGAAGTTGGTCTTATCCTTCTCCGGGTCGTACTTGTTCTCGGGCCCGGGCGACACCACCTTGGTGCTGGGCGTCTGCACCCACACGGGGCTCTGGTAGTTGGTGCACTGGCGCTGGTCCAGCTTCTCGTGGCGCTTCTTGCAGCAGAAGCGGTAGTAGCAGGTGCCGCAGCAGTACAGGTAGCCGCTCTCGCTGTTGTTGCACTCGAACTCCTTGTCGTACTGGCCGCTCACGTCGTAGTAGCCCCAGCACGTCTCGTAGGTGACGGTCGCGCTGGCCGCCGCCACGGGCTGCCCCCGCCGGCCGCCCGCCTCGGGGCCGCCGGGCGCGCGGGCCGTGCCGTTCAGCTCCCGGCCGCCGCGGGCCAGGGCGCCCCCGGGCCGCCGGCCCCCGACGGCAGCGGCGCCGGCGCTCAGGGTCCGGTTGGCGGCGCGGCCGCGGGCGGCGCGGGCGCCGGGCAGCAGGCGCAGGGCCTCGAGCGAGAGCAGCAGCAGCAGCAGCAGCAGGAGGCGCCGCAGCGCCATGGCGGGGCCGGGCGGGAGGGCGCGCGGGCGGGCTTCCGCGGCGGGGCCGGGCTCCGAGGGCGGCGGCGCGGGCGGTCAGCGGCGCCGCGGCGATGGCGCCATCGAGGCGCGGGCGGCGGGCGGCGGGCGGCGGCGGCGGCGGTGCGCACGGGCCGGCCCGGCGCTGGCTGCTCGGGCGCTCACGCTGCGCGCCGGCTCGGCGCTCCCCCCGCGGGCTCGGCGCGCCTCCCGGGCAGCCCCATCCCCCGCCGGCGGCGGCGCGGCTCAGGCGGGACCCGAAGCGCGGCTCCGGGCGGCGCTGGCGGCGGCGGCGGCGTGGTCCCGTCCGGGCGGGTCCTGCGGGACAAGACGGGGAGCCGGTCACGGGGCGGGGCGGGGCGCGGAGGGAGCGCGCGGCCCTCGACGATCCCCGCTCGGCGCCGGAGGGGCGCGGAGCCCGCGGCGAGACGGGGCCCGGCGGCCCTGCGCGCCGGCCGCCGAGGGCGCACGGGCCGCCGGCCCCGCAGCGCGCTCCCGCCGCGGGCGGGCGCCCCGGGACGGCGCGGGCTGCGGCGGGGGGCGCGCGGCGGCCGGCCCTCACTCACTCACCATGCCCGGCTGCGGCTGCAGAGGCGGCGGCGGCGGCGGGAGGGAGGAGCGCAGCGGCCGGAGCGAGCGAGCGAGCGAGCGAGCCGGGAGCCGCCGGCCGGCCGCCTGCACTAGTGCCGGAGCGCGTGCGGGAGGGAGCGAGGGAGACACACGCACTCACACACCCGCACACGCGGGAGCGCCGCGAGGGGAGGGGAGGCGGGGAGGGGAGGGGAGGGGAGCGCGGCCGCTCACCGCCGCCCACGTTTACACGCCTGGGGGAGGCGGGGGCTCCTCTTCGCTGCTCCCCACTCTCGGCGGCACTTGAAGCTCCCCGTCTCCGAAGCCCAGGACTCCCGTTATTGCAAACGGCGAACCTGGAGGCGGAGACGCGGCCGGGAGCCGGGCGGGAGTGTCCCCTCCGGAGCCCGGGCCGCGGCCGGGCCGAACCTCCGCTGCCTTTGCCTCGCGCGGCCCTGGGCGCGGGTCCCGCCTTCCCCGAGCCGGGGATCTGCAAGCCTCTGCCTCTCCCTAGTGGCGAAGCTCGCCGCGGAGGGAGGAGGCCGAACCCATTGCTACAGGTCCCTAAACTGAGACCAGGGGTCAAGGTGTCTGAGGTTGTAGGGCTGCCTAGGCGCTGGGCCTCCACTCTCTTCCAGGGGGTCACTGCCCCCCCCCCAACAACAACAAGCCTAACACAGGCGCTAGACAACCCCAGCGTTGGGTGACACCTTTTATTGCCACTTTCAAGGACTTTTTCCAGAGCGTTGGGGCAGAGGTAGAAAAGCTGCCTGAGCCTTTTAAGACTCAAGTGAAGGGGGGGGGGGGGTTGCGGAGAGGGAGGTGCTCCTGTGTGATTGCTCACGGGATCTGTGGAAAGGAGTCCCGGGTCTAACTCTTTAAGTTTTGAGGCCACCTCAAGAGGGAGTCATAATCATCATCTCTGGCAGGTGTCCATGGAGGAAATGGGGGAAATGAGAACAGAAAGCAGCGGCCACAGCCAAATCTCTGCCTGTGCGTCCTGACCTTTTGTGCAAGGGTGGCTTAGGTGGAAGGCAGGGGCGACTGTCAAGAGCATGGGCAGTAGAGATTGTGGGAGGCTATCTATTAAGTCCGGCTCCTCCCGCGACCCACACCGGGGATCCCCCACTCCAGAAAGGCAGAGAGCCTGTGCTTGGAACTCCAGAATGTATAAATTGGAACTGGAGGCCAGATTCTGGGAGGCCTTTCCCTCCCTCTTCCTCTGCAGCCCCCCCTCCCCATTCCCTCCACTGCATCTCACCTGCCATGTTCTTATTGATGATTCCGTTCAATAAACATGCATGTAGTACCTACTATATACCAGGCACTGGGGTCGGTGCTGAGATAAGAAATGAGTAAGACAGGGGCGCCTGGGTGGCTTAGTCGGTTGGGCGTCCAACTCTCGCTTGGGTCATGATCTCGCGGTTCGTGGGTTCCATCCCCGCGTCGGGCTCTGTGTTGACTGCCGGCTCGGAGCCTGGAGCCTGTTTCAGTCTGTGACTCCCTCTCTCTCTGACCCTCCCCTGCTCACGCTGTCTCTCTCTCTCTCCTAGAAATAAATAATAAAAAAAAAAAAAGAAATGAGTAAGACAGTCCCCTTTCTCAAGGAGGGAGGCTTACAAAGCACGGAGGCAGGTAAACGAATGTTGACCGTGTGCATGGCCAGGTCCCGTATCAACACAGAATGCCCTGAGAGCGCTGATGCCAGGCTCCTAGTCGCATCCGGGAGGAGCATGGTGGGGGTCAAAGGCAGCTTTCTGCATGAGCTAATGAGCAGAATTCTTGAATGAATAATTAAGAATTAATGCAGCAAACCGAGGGGGAGGACACCCGCGGCAGACAGAGCATCATTAGCAAAACCTGAAAGGTGCGAAGTGCTGAGGGTATGTGAGCAGAGGTGCAGCAATTGAGCGTAAACTCGGAGGGAGTCTTCCAGATGAAGCTGGGAGAGGAGCACTGTCTCTCCTGCCAAAGAACTTGAATTGATTCTACGGTTGCTGGAGAGCTATTGGTGGGTTCCGCTCAAGGGGATGACACAGTCAGGTTGACACATCCGCCGGGTGTCTTAAGTCCGACCGGAGTTCAGGAACACCATATAGGAGAAGAGCAATCTAGAAGCTGATGATGCAGTTAAAAGTTCATGAAGGGCTGAAGTCGATTGTTGGCAGTCGATGCCCACGGTGGAGATGATGAGCATGGTCGAAAGAGCTGGATCAGGATGGCATTAGCAATGGACACGCAGCAGTGCTTTTAAGAGCCCGGAGTGGAGGGGCGCCTGGGTGGCTCAGTCTGTTAAGCATTGGACTCTGGATTTCAACTCAGGTCATGATCTCACGGTGTGTGAGTTCGAACCCTGCGCCGGGCTCTGCGCTGACAACATGGAGCCTGCTCGAGATTCTCTCTCTCCCTCTCTCTCTCTCTCTGCCACTCCCTCCCCCAAAATAAATAAATAAACTTAAAAAAAAAAAAAGAGCCCTAAGGGAAGGGAAGCTGGCTAGCACAAGGGCTTTAAACTCAGGAGAACAGATAAGAAAAGATATGTGTTTGGGAATCATAATATAGGCATATACATTTGGAAAACATAAAAACACATTCTTGACTTTTAGATGATGTGCAATTTTTCAGCCATTTCCTTCCTTTCCTCTTCCCTGAGCTTCCACCGCCCCCTACTTCGTTATTCCAGAAATGCCCATCCCGTATCTGGGGAGCTTCCTAGCAATGGGTAGAACCATGTCGAACTCCAATAAGACTTGATCCCTGGTACTGAGTAAGGGAAATGGCTTTGGTTTTTCAGATTGTCCCATCCACAAATGTGATTTGAACCCCCGTGCTCACAGATGGTAACATCAACAAACTCACAAATAGTAGTATCTCAGAGTTGGATAGGATCTTCAAGGTTATTCACTCCAACTCTCACTGCAGTATGTTCTACTTCTTTTTTTTTAAAGTTTTACTTATTTTTTAGTAATCTCTACACCCAGCCTGGGGCTCGAACTCATCACCCTGGGATCAAGACTCACAGTCTGCAGACTGAGCCAGCCAGGCACTTCTGCGTTATATTTCTTATTGACACTCCCCACCCTCCTTGTTTACCCTTCGTGGTAGATGAGCTTGGTTGCCTTACTGACATCCATTTCCCCACCAGCATGCATTTTTCTACTTTCTCCTTCTGGTTTCAATACCTGAGTTGTTGCCAGTATGGAAATATCCTTCCTTTCTGGATTTAACTCTTTAAAAAGTGCCGGAGAAGAGTTATCTTTTCCAACACCTATACCACCTTCAGCCAGGCAGCCCATAGGCTCAAGAGACAGTGACCCAATCTCTGGTTCTAGAAGGTAGATCCCAACTGGGCTAAACCAACCATGATGATCCCATTCCCCCTGGGCCAGTGATTGGTTAAGAATGAACACGTGATTCATTTCTGGCCAATACAAACTGAAGGAAGCGCTAGGAGATTTTGGGGAAATGAACCTTGCATTTAAAAATAGTTATAATTCGGGGCGCCTGGGTGGCTTAGTCGGTTAAGCGTCCGACTTTCGCTTAGGTCATGATCTCGCAGTTCGTGGGTTCGAGCCCCGCATCAGGCTCTGTGCTGACTGCCAGCTCAGAGCCTGGAGCCTGTTTCAATCTGTGACTCCCTCTCTCTCTGACCCTCTCCTGCTCACGCTGTCTCTCTCTCTCCCCTAGAAATAAATAAAACATTAAAAAAATAGTGATAATCCCTCTACTTTTTTGAGGGTTGTTTCAGGGAACATTCTGACCCTGCAGGGAGGTGGAGGGTGCAGTTGGGGGGCAACTAGTCCTTAGTCGAAGCTGATACTTACTTTGATAATCATCGGTGCTGCTCACTGAGTATCTCTGCCTTCCAGGCATATATTAGAATTGCAATCTCTGGCCCAGAGATTTGTGAATGTGGGGGGGGGGGTGGACAAATCGTGGGCAGAAATGATGTATGTTATTTCCGAACCAGAGCATTTAATCAGCACTTCCAGACACTGTAGAATTCTCATTTTCTTCTGGCATGGTGATTGGCAGTGGTCTATGTGGGAGTGGCTGTGTCAGATTGGAAATGATGACAGCCCCCCCCCCCCAGCTTATTAAAATGGTGCCCTGCCATGGGTGTGAAGTAAAAATAGACATTTGCTTCTGAAGTTTAGCCACTGGAATTGGATCTGTTATTGCAGCACAGCCTCGCCCATCCTGACTGATACCACTGAGGATGACAGATGAAAAGACGGAAGGAACACTACTGAGCCACCCATGGAGCTGTGCCCAGGGCTCTCACAACTCTGGTCCAACTTATGGAAGCCTCTTTGAATCTAGAGTTTCTCTAACATGCAGCCCGATGCATCCTAATGGATATATCCAGCATCTTCTGTCTCCATTCTGACTTTCTCTAGGGTTTCTACCTA